GTAGGTTACAATGGGTCATGTCCAGCATTGATAGAGAGGTGTCTTTAGTCTTCCTCATCTGACTGAGCTAGATGCAGTGTCATGGGTTGAATGTGATTTGTCCCTATCAAATCATGTTGAGACTTGGTCCTCAATATGGTAGGATTTGGAGTTAGTACCTTGGAGAGGTACTGGGGTTTTTAAGAGTGATTGGTACTCTTAGGAGCCAGTTCTTATTCTTGTGGGACTTGTGGGCTACCTTAAAAGTGGGTTGAGAGAAAGTAAGTCTGGCACTTCCCCTGGGTCTGTTTGCCTGCTACTTTCACCCTTTAAATTCTGTGCCATGTTGTGATGCAGACAGGGGGAAGACATCAGTGCTATGCTGTTTGGATTTTCCTGCTACCACAATCATGAGACAAGTCAACTTATTTTCTTTATAAGGTATTCTGTTGTAGCAACAAAACTGACTAAGACATGAAGTAACTCATTGGGCTTTGTTCTTTCTTCCTTAGAGCAAAAGAGTATGTTTGGTGTGGGAAGAGAGGGGCTCAATATTTGCTGGTTAGGAAGATGAATTATTCCAGACAAGGCCATCTCCCACCTGGAATAGATATATTTCTGGTAAGGCATGTGGTTAAGTGCCTATACAGAGATTGGAATGTTATTGGGTCACTCTTTCCTGGTTCTAGCCTTATGGGAGTTCAGGAGCATCCTCTCGTTTGTAGCCTTGCCACCTCTCCTTGTCTGACTGTAAGGCATATTAAAAGACATATTAAATGTCTGTAATCCTAGCCACTCAGGAGACTGAGGCAGGAGGATTACAAATTCAAGGACAGGTAAAAACTAAAAAGGGCTAGGGCATCAGTAGAGTACCCTTGGGTTCAATTCCCAGTACCTGCTCCACAATGTCTGGTTTTACGGTCAAGGGAATTCCAAAGGGCATCTACCTTCAAATACAACTCTATTATGGACATTATTTTTTTATATAACACCTCCTTTGTTGCTTTATGGCTCATCTATGTATGCAAATATTTTTGATCATTACATACAGCAACCCCTTTGCATTCTTCATTAACTCTATCTGCTATTTTTCTTAAGTTTTCCTAAACTTCCAAAAAGAGAATTCCAATGTCCCCAAACTAAATATTGAATCAAATCCCTGGGAAGGCAGAAGTACTTGTTTTACTTTTCTTTTAAATTATATTTATCCATCTTATTTTGTGCATCTTTTTCCATAGTTGTCTTAGAACATAAGTCATGATTTCAATGCTTGCATAATATTCACTTGGTTCTCATACAGTATCTTGGAAGTGAATGTCTTAGTGGCTATGGTAATCTGCTTGTTATTCATCAAGATTAGAAATATGATATATGGATTTGCTATTATGTATATCTGACCTAAGCTCTTTCGTTTTTTTTTAAAAAATGCTAACTATGGCCTTTCTTCTAATTTTCCTCAGAGATATACCATTTAGAATAATACAATATTTAAAAGAAGTTCTGGTATATTTTGAAGATGCTAAAATTGGTTCTATTTTAGTTTGTCCTTCAGGATTATGATGTAATTTTGGATCAGTATCTTTTCTCTGTCCAAAAGAGTGTTTGTATTTCATTCAAATGGAGAATATAGCCTCTGAAGCTTATTGAGTATAAGAAACACTTGTTAGCAATGGCATTGTACAATACAAAATTACTACCTATTTATTTCAAGAATTATTTGACAACATCTGTTCTTGGTATGAAAGACTTACTGATATTTAAATTATGAATAGTCTCAAATCTTATTTGAGATTAGTAGCGCACAGAGATTTCATCATGGCTTCTCCTCCTCCACCCCTCTTTGGCAATGTAGGGGACTGAACTCAGCACCTCACATAGACAAGCAGAGCTACACTCCTAACCCCTGGTCATGGTATTTTAAAAAGAAGATTGCACTAAGCAACACTGGCAATGAGCTACATTCAGTGTAGTTTTAATAAAATTGTTTTTATCTAGAATTGCTGAATTTAAAAAATTTATTTAAAAATGTGACACATTTATATGTATAGAAAATTAGACAAAGTGAAACTGCTGGGTAATAGAACATGTATGTCTTTGTCTTTTCAAGAGGGATTTGAAGACACTGGCTCTGATGATGAAGGCATGGGGCCACGAGCCAAGGAATGCAGGAAGCCTATAGAAACTGAACACGCAAGAAAATGAATTCATCCCCAGACTCTCCAGAAGGAACAAAGACTTGCTGATGTTGGAAGCTGTGTATGAACTATGGATTTGGTTTGAGACATTAAGGCAGGGAAGCTGCTTTTCTGGGAACTCCTGGACGAAATTCCCCTATTAGAGAAAGCCCAGATGGAGCTGGTGCCTTGCCTTAGCTCATAGCCCCGGATTCAAACACAGCCGCTGGAGATAAGCATAAACTGCCAAGCACCAAACCACCTGTTTTTCCCCATTCTTATCGTATTTTTTCTGAGTAAACTCCTTACTGATCCCCTTTGGTCTGTACCACTATAAATAAAGCATGTGCTGGTTTTTCTTTTTGTTAGGATCAGATCCATCAGGAAGGTCTATCTACCCGTCTGGCCCCTGCTTTAATATATTCCTGGTCTTTTGTCTTTTTCATGTGTGTGTGTGTGTGTGTGTGTGTGTGTGTATTTTGGTTGTAGATGAACCTTTATTTTTATTTATTTATTTATATGTGGTGCTGAGGATTGAATCCAGTGCTCACACATGCTAGGCAAGCACTCTGCCACTGAGCTACAGACCCAGTCCATCTTTATTTTTTAACATTACTTTCAAAGCTTTTATTTTGCAGTTGGCCCACACCTTTAAGGGTTACACGCTCCCTTCCCACACAGGTTGTGGGCAGAATGCTAACACCTTGATTTTAGCATAATGAGACATATTTTTGGATATGACCTCCAGAGCTTTAAGAGAATTAATTTGTATTATTTTAATTCACTATATTTGTGGTGATTTGTTATAGAAGAAATGTAATATAAGAGTTGATAGACACGGCACTAGAGATTATGTTTCTTAAAAGATCTACAGGAGAGATTCCTTGATTCTTTGGCTGAGTACTGATTTGTATATATCAGAAAATAAATTAGAGCTATTATAATACTTTACTCAAGACTGGAGAAATAACCACTGGAAAGAAGTAAATCCATTTTCTGAGATCACACAGAACTGTGAATACTTTCCAACTCATATTTAAGGAAGAAATAATACAAAATTTTCTTTTCTTTTATTTATTTATTTATTTTTAATTTTTTATTGTTGGTTGTTCAAAACATTACATAGTTCTTGATATATCATATTTCACACTTTGAATCAAGTGGGTTATGAACTCCCATTTTTACCCCATATACAGATTGCAGAATCACATCAGTTACACATCCATTGATTTACATATTGCCATACTAGTGTCTGTTGT